TAGACCATCCCTGACAGGCATTTGTCTAACCTGCTCTTAAAATCTTCAATAATGGAGATTCCATAACCTCGCTACGCAATTTATTCCAGTGCTTAACTATCCTGACCGTTAGGAAGTTTTTCCCAATGTCCAACCTAAACTGCCCTTTTTGCAATTTAAGCCCATTGCTTCTTGTCCTATCTTTAGAGGTTGAAGAGAACAGTTTTTCTCCCTCCTCCTTGTAACAACCTTTTATGTACTGGAAAACTGTTATGTCCCCCCCCTCAGTCTTCTCTTCTCCAGACTAACAAACCCACTTTTTTCAATCTTCCTTCATAGGTCATGTTTCTAGCTCTTTCATAATTTTTTTTTTTTTTTTTTGCTGTTCTCTGGACTTTGTCCATATCTTTCCTGAAATGTGGCACCCAGAACTGGACACAATACTCCAGTTGAGGCATAATCAGCATGGAGTAAAATGGAAGATTTACTTTGTGTCTGTGTCTTGCTTACAACATTCCTGCTAATACATCCCAGAATGATGTTTGCTTTTTTTGCATTAGTGTTACATGGTTGACTCATATTTAGCTTGTGATCCACTATGACCCCCAGATCCCTTTCTGCAGTACTCCTTCCTAGGCAGTCATTTCCTGTTTTTTATGTGTGCAACTGATTGTTCCTTCCTAAGTGGAGTACTTTGCATTTGTCCTTATTGAATTTCATCCTATTTACTTCAGACCATTTCTCCAGTTTGTCTAGACCATTTTGAATTTTAATCCTGTCCTCCAAGCACTTGCAACCCCTCCCAGCTTGGTGTCATCTTCAAACCTTATAAGTGTTCGCTGTATGCCATTATCTAAACCAGCGGTTCTCAAACTTCATTGCACCGCAACCCCATTCTGACAACAAAAATTACTGTACAACCCCAGGAGGAGAGACCGAAGCCAGAGCTCACCCAAGCCCGCCCATGGGTGGGGGTAAAGCCTGATTCACACTGTCTTGAGATGGGGGGGGCCAAAGCTGAAGCCCAAAGGCTTCAGCCCCAGACAGGGGCCCTGTAACCTGAGCTCCACCACTGAAGCTTCGACTTTGACCCCAGGCAGTGGGGCTCGGGCTTCAGCTTTGGCCCCAGGCAGTGGTGTTCAGGCTTTGGCTTTGGGCCCCAGCAAGTCTAAGAGCGCCCTGGTGACCCCATTAAAATGGGGTCCCGACCCACAGTTTGAGAACCGCTGATCTAAATCATCGATTAAGATATTGAACAGAACGGGACCCAGAACTGATCCCTGCGAGATCCCACTTGATATGCCCTTCCAGCTTGACTGTGAACCGCACATAACTACTCTCTGGGAACTGTTTTCCAACCAGTTATGTACCCACATTACAGTAACTCCATCTTGGTTATATTTCCCTAGTTTGTTTATGAGAAGGTCATGCGAGACAGTATCAAAAGCCTTACTAAAGTCAAGATATACCACATCCAGTGCTTCCTCCCTTTCCACAAGGTTTGTTACCCTGTCATAATGGTCCTGTCTGGCTTTAAAAATATATGAATCTATAAGAGCTCTGGATCTCTCTAAAGGGTCCTAAAACCCATTACACTGCCCAAATAAAACACAGGAGAAACATCAGGTTATTTCTTTTAGGTCAGTAAGGAGTAAGTGCAGTTTTTCTGCTACTCCCTCTTACCCTTCTTCTTAACAAATTAAAGAGTCTTTGGACCAAATTCTGTTATGGCAGAATAGGTGAAGCTCCCCAAGGACTGAATTTGATCCCTGGTGTTTTCAATTTAGCTTTGGGTGGAACTGTATAGAAATTGCCATAGTGGATCAGACCTGCAGCCCATCTAGTCCAGCATTCCATCCCTGACAGTGGCAACAAAAGATGCTTTAGAGCAGTGGTTCTCAAACTTATTTGATCATGCCCCCACTTCTTTGTGTCCATAGTAGTTTATGTAATACACATCCTTGCCAGGCAGGTACATATACCGATTAAAGAAGAAGAAGAAGAAAAAAGCAGTTTTCACTAAATATTAAAAACAGCAAGGCATTGATTCAAACAGAGCCAACAGTCCATTGTCATAAGAGCAAAAGCAAAACTGCGATTGTGGTCGATGCTTAGAATTAAATGTGCGCACTGCGTCGTAGCAAACGGATTAACATACAGATGGCAACAATTTTGTATAATGCTATGCAAGCTTAACAGAAATCTGTCAAAATACACAGCACCATCTGGAGTCAACTGCACAGTGCTATCTGAGGATTTGTTATGTCTGGAGAAATCAACTTTGCTAATTATTTATTGGTGTGGGTAAAATATGCCCAGTAAAGTTTGTTTTTTTCCTTAAAGTTTCTCATGCCCTCACAGAATATATTTTGCGCACACACACCCCTCCAGTGAGGCCTTCCCCACAGTTTTGAGAACCTCTGTTTTAGAAGAAGGTGCAAGAATTAGGTAAGAATATCTCACATTAGGTAGATGTGGGATAATCTACCTCCTCCAGTGTGAGGCCATTATACAGGAACATGCTGTGAGGGGCTGGCAGAATAGGGTCACATCATTAGGGGTGGAGTACCTGCACTTAAAAAAATCAGAACTACACCCCTGTTTAAAGAGAGGCCTTACAATTATATTTAGAGATTGTTTCAAACCCTGAAGGGTGAAAGTTAATATCTCTGCCAAAATGTGTTACAGTTAATAACTGTATCAGAGGGGTAGCCCTGTTAGTCTGGACCTGTAAAAGCGGCAAAGAGTACTGTAGCATCTTATAGACTAACAGACGTATTGGAGCATAAGCTTTTGTGGGTGAATACCCACTTCGTCAGATGCATGTAGTGGAAATTTCCAGAGGCAGGTATAAATATGCAAGCAAGAATCAGGCTAGGGATAACGAGGTTAATTCAATCGGGGAGGATGAGGCCCTCTTCTAGCAGTTGAGGTGTTAATAACTGAATATTCTTATCAATATAAATGTCCAGTTTCTGTATGGATTCTCCCCCTCCTCTCCTACATGGATGCCTCTAATTATTTTTGTTCCCCTTTTCTGGCTGGCAGATGAGGCAGCTAAATCTAAATGTACTGTCCCTGATGAGGATTCCCCTTAGATTAATCAAATGGGTGTCATGGGTTCCAGATTAGTCTCCTTTTTTGTCAAGGCTACGGGGCTACTTGCACCTCCTTCCCTTTTCTAGTGTCTCTGAGTGCACACCATCAGGCATTAGGGCTTTTGCTCATACCTGTCTTGGGGTAAGACAGGTGTTATAGGAGACTAACGGGTAATTTCACAATTCTCCCACAATTGGACTGAGGTCTGGGCACAATGGCATTATGGGGGGAGGGGATAAAGGTGGTGCCCAGGCTGAACCATATCTCCTCTCCCACTCCTCCTTGCCCCAGCATACCCTGGAACCAGAACTGTGCAGGGGTGACCCCCCCACTTCACTCTGGAGGCACTAGCATCCAGGTGGTGCATCCCTGTCTCTATGTTGCCTTGGTAGAAAACTGGAAGAGAGGAGCCAGCTGGAGACACCAGCTGGTAGGAGCAGAAGCAGCCAAAGCTGGGACTTCTGTACATTGAGAGAACTTTCTACAGTTTTGACTAGACATGTGCTAAAAGTCTTCTGCCCAGGATTGCAACACACCACCTCAGAAACCCTACACAGAAAAATACATTAGCATCCAGATCCACATTCACCACCAAGCATACTCACATCAATCACACTTCTTCTTAACATCTTATTTGCTCTTTTGATGGCCACAACTGCGCAGACATTGTCACTGATCAGTGCACAATACCTAGATTGTTCCTAAGATGTGACCTTATTTAGGCCCCAGCACTGTGTCTGAGTTGAAGTTGCATCTTTCTGTGTCTATACAAGACATTGAATTTCACCTGCCTTCCTGCTGCTCAGATACCTCATTCTGCTGGACCTCTCTGCAGTTCCTTACTCTCCTTAGGCCATATCCACACTGCCAAGTTTTGTCAGCATATCTGTATCAGTCAGGGGTATGAAAACATGGAGTCCATAGTGGACATACCCCCTAGCAAAACCCCCAATGTAGACACAGCTATACTGACAGAACAGAGCTTTTATTAGCACAACTAATATTCAGGAAGGTGGTGTTACTGTGCTGACAGAAAAATTTCTGTCAGCATACACTGTCTACATTAGGGGGCTCTGCCAATATACAGTGGCTATACTGGCAAAACATTTGTAGTGTAGACAAGACTTTAGTCTCCTATAATACACATCATTTTGTATCATTGGCAGATTTTTCCAAGTCCCAGGTAATTAGTTCAGAGTGGTACAGAATCCTCAGAGCAAAAAGACAAACAACAAAAATACAGCCAACCAAAGAAATTTAACCAGGGAAGGAGACTCCAATCAGCCATAGCTGCTGACTCTGTGGGCACTCAGCATCCACTGGCAGCCCCACAGATCAGCTCCTCTCCACCCCCAGCACCTCCTGCCGGCCACTGATCAGCAGCATTCAGGAAGCTAGGAAGAAGGAGCAGGGGCAGGAAGAAGTGAGGGAGGGGGCGGAGCAGGCAGGAAGAGGCAGGGTGGGGGTGGGAAGAGGTGGAGTGGGGGCAGGGCCTGGGGTGGAGCAGGGGTCGAGTACCCTCCCCCCGTAACTGGGGAAGTCAGCGCTGTGACGTTCCCTTCTGGTGTTATCTGGACCAGTGATCTGCTAGGCCATTCCAATCCTTGATTCTGGGAGCCAGCCTGACCCTGCTCTGCTGTGAGAACCCCCACGCTTGGGCTGTTCACACACAGCCTCTGGCATGTAAGCTGCTCCCAGCTACTTGCAAGCGAATGATGCTAGTCAATATCTTTGGTCCCAGACACAACCCTGGGAACTTCTGTCTTGCAGTGTCCAGTTATGCCTGCTTGACACTGCAAGTTTATATAAATTCGTCAGTTTAACAAAGAAATTGATATGTACCAGGCTTGTTCTCCCAAGGGGAGTCTCTGACACTGCAAACCAAATGCGCTGTTTAAGGTAGAATAAACAAACAGATTTATTAACTATAAAGGTAGATTTAAGTGATTATAAGTCAAAGCATAACAAGTCAGATTTGGTCAAATGAAATAAAAGCAAAACACATTCTAAGCTGATCTTAACACTTTCAGTGTCCTTAAAAACTTAGATGCTTCTCACCACAGGCTGGTTGGTTACTTTTCAGTCAGGCTCTCCTCTTTGATCAGCATTTCAGTTGCTTGGTGGTGGTGTCTGTAGATGTAGGTGGAAGAGAGAGAGCATGGCAAAATATCTCTCCCTTTTATCATGTCCTTTCTTCCCTCTTGGCTTTGCCCACCCCCTTCAGAGTCAGGTGAGCATTACCTCATCGCAGTCCCAAACTGCTCAAAGGAAGGGGGTGACTCCCTTGAGGGTCTAACAGATTCTTTTGTTGCTGCCTAAGCCAGTGTCCGTTGTTCCTGTGAGGCTGGGCTGGGTTTGTCTCATCCTTGCCCTGAGGAGGTGTGAACTGCCTCTCTGTTCTTGGAGAGTTTTTGCGTGGGCTTGCTTTAAGCCATGAGGATACATTTTCAGCCTCATAACTATATACGTGAAATTATAACCTGTAACCTTACTATAACATTACTGTAACAATTACTATAACATCACTATAACAACCATGCTCAGTGCATTATGGGCCTTCCAAAGACACCCAACATGACAAACTTTGAATTGGATACCACACAGTCATTTTATAAACATGAACATGGGGGTGAAGGGTGTTCCCCCGAGGTACAGAGTGTCACAGGTGCCTCTGCAGTCAGGCCTCACTGCACACAGCACTTAGTGATGTCATCTCCAGCAATAAACAGCACCTGCTTGCTGGACACCTGTTACTGGTGACCAACTCCCTGGGCTCCTGCCAGGCCTTTTATATCCACTGCAGATTCCTCAAAGACATGTTGTCTTAAAGAGACAGTACTTTTTTTCACTTGCACTTTTTAGAAAGCAAGCCAATAATTCCTGTAGAGAGTTCCACACCTTTCCCAGCATGTGGGCCAAGTCCATTCAATAAACACCAACAAAAGAAACATACTTAAATACTTTCAGTAAAACCTAGACTAGATGGGGTGTGAACAACTTTTTTTTATTTGGTGGGTGATAGAGTTAAAAATATAATACCAATTGAATATTTCTTTGAATAGTTTTGTACCATGACTACTTTTGTCCACTTTTAATTAAGTGAGATAAATGCACTTCCACATTTGACGTTTTATTCATGCAATCCATAAAACACCCCTAGTTATCTGGTACTGTCACACTACATAGTTTTGGTCTCTTTCTATTACTATTGTCCCATTGAGCTGGCTGGCTCCATGTAGCTGGATGCCTTCCGATAGAGCCACTCATTCTCTTTTAGAGCTCCTGTCCAAGATGGGAATCTGTGCAGGAGGAAAATCCCCTGGAAGTCTTTTGTCTATTGCTCCCTAGTGTGGTGAAAACCCTTTTGGGAAATGTCTTTCATGCATTTTCTTGTTTGACTGTGGGAGCAGCTCTCTGTCTTGGGCTTGATAAAGCTTGTCCCTGGGGTTCGTAGCCAAAATGGTTGCTTCTAACCTGGAGAGAGAGCAGCAGAATCACCCAACATCTCCCATATAGTTTTTCTTTAGCTGCCCAAACTCCATGATATACATTGAGACACTGTGAAATGGTTCCTTCCTTCCAGATTGCACCTTCTTCTGAGAGAGAGAGAACAGCTGGGATCTTTAGAGACCCTGGTACAGAACATGGTGCTCAGTGGACTTGACTATTAGATTTTGTACACCCACCCTAAGTTATGTTAGACAGCACACACTTTATACATTAAAATATAAACCATAGGCTGTGCTTTTTTGGGAACGAGGGAAGGTATGCGTAGAAATCTGTGTTGGGGGGGAAATAGAAGAGGAGTGTCTGCTGGTGTATTTTTGGTGGGAAAGGTAACGTTGGGGAGGCTGTATCTGGGGAGGGGAAGGTGGGAGTGTATGGATCTGCATTGTAAGGTTACCCTGTGACTTTATTTCCAATTAAACACAGTTACTTTTGACAATGTGTCATTTTTATTTGTGGCTTCTAATCTGACCTCCTAATAGATTCACACACATTCTGCACAAGTATCTGAATAAAAACAAACTGCTTTGGTTTCTTGCTGGACTGGGAATTCCTTTGGATGAAGAGCAGTTTCCATTGGGTGTAACCCTGAAATCCTGAGCCATGCTATAGGAGACCAGAGAGGGTGTTTGGTGGAGATGCAAGGATACTATCCAGTTTGCTATGCTATTCCTTTCCCCTATACAGAAGGGATGAAGCAAATGTTGAAGGGTAAGAAAGGTTGTTGTCTTCTTTCCAGACTCATCTGCTGCCCACCCATTACATCTTGTTCATTTACTGGTCCAGTCTTAACCTTGAAGTTTGTTACATTTATTGGTGTGTCTGGCTCAGCAGCTACTTTCTGTAACCCCTGTCTCCAACAACTCTGTTGTTGCTTGAGCCCTGATGGCTTTGCAGGGGCAGCATTGGAATTTAAGGGTGTGAGACAAAGCGGATACGTTGAGAGTATGCCAAGTCCACAATGTAAAGCACCAGGTTCACATAAGTAAATATAGCAATCACCAGTTGGCTGTCCCAGGGGCATTTGCCCTGGGAGCACGGGTAGGGGCGCCATGGGGACCCATACTTACTATCAAAGCAGAACACTGGCCAGATCACTGCTGCACTCACATACATGAGGATGGCCATGAATGTGTAAATGACCACAAAGCGCTCAAAGGGGCACCGCAGCATTGCTGTCCTTCCCGTAACATTGAAGGCCACTACCACCACTGTCACCACAAAGCAGAAGCCATAGACAGCCACACACCATTGGGTAGCCACATAATTGGTGTACTGACTGTCATTTACCAGTGCCCCAAAGATGATGCAGGCCACAAAGGCCTGGACAATTTTCAAGAGGCCAGATACTGTGGCCATGTAGTTGGTCACCTGTCCTGGCTTGGCTCTGGTTAGAAACACCTCCACAGCATAAGCAATGAACATGAGCCCTGCAAAGACACTGGCTGCTATGCGGAAATCTCTCACCTTGCAACTGATGGAATAACAGCCAAACTGGGCAAAATAGAGCGGGTAGATCACAGCCGCAGTGATGGACATGAGTGTGGCCAGCATGGCAAAAGCAGCTGTGAAATTTCCCCAGGAGATGCTCAGGCAGCTGTGGAGACGAGTGAACTCACAGGTTATTATAAAGATGGTGACAGCAAAACAGAAACACCAGACGAACATGCAGAAGGTGCCATAGGCTGCACTAAATCCCCCCTGATGGGCCACCAGGCTGAACGTAGTACATCCAAACGCCACTTGCAACAAACGGGCTATTCCCACCGGGGATGCCACTGCTGCTGTGTTCAAATACGGCCCTCCTGAGCTCTCCATCATCTGATCAGAGCAGGTAACAAGGCAGTTGGAGACCCCAAATCTTCCTTTCAGGTTAGCTCAGTTCTCTATCCCTCTGCCAGAATCTTCGCTGAGCGCGTATGTCTGGCAGCCTCTCAGAATAGCTTCATTTTTCTGGAGTAAGATTATTGACTGGTTCTGTTTTCAGGCTGAAGGTAGCAGAGAGCTATGAAGATCAGCTAACCCAGCGGTACCAGGCAGGATCTGTGAAGATTCTCTTACTCTGTCTTTTCACTGTCTCTTCCTTCAGTCTCTAGCATGGTCGCTTTCTCCTTGGTGGCTGACATTTTATTCCGTTTTAGCTCGGCAGCTGTAGTGCTCTGCTTTAGTGCTGTAGGAACGCAGCAGTATAAATAGCTGGCTATATTAAGAGTCCTGGAATGGAGTGAACTCTGTCCTCTGGAACTATGATGAGCTGGTGTAGGTTACACTCAAACTGTGGACTCCATCAGGGGTTCCTGATTAACAGCCTGCATTTCCTCTACTGCCTGTTTTGTCATTTAAGCATTGACCGTCTGTCAGCATTCCCAGACCCTGCAGAGGTCTCAGATCCTCTTGGGGAGAGTGCTCAGATCCTACCACACCACAGAACCTGGAATTTGGTGTTGCAGATTCAATGGCACCAGATGGGTATATGGATCTGGTGGGATCACAGAAGCTGTGGGAGGGAGGGGTGTGTGGACCCAATGGCACAACAGAGACTAATTAATTTTGCTTCATTTGATATTGGGCAGTAGAGTAGTTTGGCAAATGGCCAATGCTATTGTGGTGGGTCCCGTGCTTTTCCTTGGTATGGTGGGTCAGGGGGCTGCCCCTGCCCCTGTTCTTGAGCTCCACTAGTACCCTGGACGGGAGGAAAAGGGGAGCAGGGAAGGGACCCAGGTCCACCTCCTACTCCGGTCCCAGCCCCTTCAGCTTCGCAGGCTTCTTACCCTCTTTCCCCTTGGGCAGGGTTTCTCTTGGTCCTCTGTGCTGGGGAAGTCCCTCTGCCCTGCCTGGGCAGGGTCTGCCTGCCCCAGTACTTTGATCCTATGGTCAACACCAGTCATCTCCAAACTACAGTCAGCTCTCCTTCCCTTCTCCTGTCTGACTGAAGCAGGGGGGGGGTTATTAGGTCTCTGGCAGGGTCTTAATTGGTTCCAGGTGCTCTAAGTAACCTGTAGTCGCCTCTCCATAGTCCACAGGAAATAAGGCTCTGATCATCCTGGGGCTTCTATACCTCCCATTGAGCAGTCTCCTTCTGTATCACAGTAGTTAGATGTAGGCCAGGGTCCTGAGGGGCAGCATCCTGGGGCGGAGATAAATGTTTCCATTGCCATTATGATCTGATTCTGTTCTGTGCTTGGCTCCAGCAGCTCTCTTATCTCTGGAACATTATATTCAATGGCTCCTACCAGCACATGCAGGTCTTTGACCCCTTGGGTGGGGTTCACTGATCACTGGGATGCTGAATCTAGTGTGCCCTCTTGGCTTGGGATGGAGGTTTTCTGATCTGTGGAATTTCATGCCCGGTTCTTGTCTCACTGAAGTTTTGTTTGTGCACTGGATGTAAGGGAGTGGAGGAATATGTATTTTATTTACTTCCTTAAAGTGAAACAGGTGGTAGATAAATTGCATTTTTAGTCTTAGCCCAGAAAAGCAGAAAGGGTTAACCCTACAGCAATATGGGGATATTTGTCACTATAAGGTATTGCTGTTGTTTTGTCCTGGACACCAGTGTCAGCCTTTAGTATGGGAACACCTTTAGAAATGGGTTGGCTGCTCTCTTTCTTGCTGTGTCCTGTCCTGCTCCTTCCTTTCTCTCTTACTTTAACAGTAAAGTGCAGGTTCCTAGAGCTTTGGGTGACAGGAAGGACTGCAATTGGCAAAATAGGACTAACTTTTGTTCTCCTACCTTTGCAGACTCCCCTTGTCTTAACTATTGACCAGGTGCTTGAAGTGCCCACAGTAATTATGGCAATATTCTTATCCCCTATTCTCAAAGGCTCAGAACTTTTCAAAAAAGCCATTTTGGTATGTTTTTCCCCAGGGTTGGTCTTTACCCGAAGGTGGATTATATTTTATGTATTGTAATTTTTGAAAATTTTAAAACCCCTGCAGCAATTTCAGAGTGATGGAAGAGAGACAAAATATACAAAAAATCCTCACCCAACTTTTTTAGACCCTGCCACAGCCAAAAAATGAATAGCTGGAGAGTGAAGCTTGGCATGGACATAGTCCTCAGTAAGAGCTAGCATGTACTGAACATGCTCTAAATAGGTATGCACAACTAAAAGGCCCTGGTTTGCAATTGGATCTATGCAAGTGGGTCTTTGTGTGTGTATGGAGCTCCATCAACTTCAGAGGGAGTCTGTTCACTTGCAAGAGTCCATCTGACTAAGGTTTAGGGCTCTAGTCAGTAAAAATGCACTGATTGGTTGAAAGAACTTACAAGCTGTCCTGATGAAGCCTGTGAACTCCCAAAGTATAACTCTTGTAGAGCAGGAGTTCCCACATTTTATCATGACAACAGAGTGGCCTATGACCATCTATGAAGCCCTGACTTCTTGGAATGCAGCCTAAACTACCATCAGATAAAGTCATATAGAAAGGTGAGAGATGCTGAGATTGTCTCTTACTAGGTGTCTGTGCAGAGCCAGTTCTGATTGGGCCCTTTTTACTTTAGGCACTACAGCAGTATAAATAAATAATAAGAATGATTTTTTTCTGTGAGAGGCTCCCTAATTCCTTTCTCTCCTATAAAGATTTCCCTGAGTCCTTTCTCTGGACTCCAGTCTTGTGTCCTATATGGTGTTTTATACCATTGATCACAACATTCTTTAAATTTCACTGGAGCAGATTGTCATTCTTCCTGGCTGTTCATTTTCTGTTTTTTGTTCTTTTCAGCCCAATGGACTATGCTTTGTTTGGTTAGACTCACGGCTGATAGGTCTCCAGGTTCCATCTATGGGGTGAAGCCCAACACTGGAGTCATGCTCCTTCTGAGTACTGGTTAGTCACTTGTCTCGTATACTGGTGCCATTGAGTGGTTACTCAAGTTTTGTATGAGTCCAGAGAAAGCACTCTATTCCATCTCTTCTTGTTTTCAAGAGTTCTTGATGTTATTCATTGGATGGGGCTGCTTCTGAAGCCAATTCTATAAATTTATTTTGGTTCCAGACATGTATGTTGTGTGTCATTGTTATTCTGTGAGTATCACATTTCTTACATTAGAAAGGTTTTGTGTTTCCCTGCGTAAAATTTTTCAAAGCTGTTCAGAGCACCTCTCGTTTTGTTACACTTATATTTCTAATTACGTTGTCTTTATTTCTGGCTCCAGCTGTCTCTCTGAGCTGGCATTTAGTGTAAGTAGAGTGGGGACAGAGACTACTCTTCTTTTGAAGATCAGGGGACATTTGTATTTCACAGGAGAGACAGCTCAGGGCCAGGAGAAGCAAAGATGACTTTGAGCCACATTTTCATTGCCTGAACTTTTGGGTTGGTTGGGGACAAGTGCAGCCCCCACAGCTATTCAAATTTATGGGTGCCCTATGCAGTCTGCATTGAAGCCCAGAATCTTCGTAGCACTCAGCACCCTGGATACTCCCTCCCCAGGACATCTCCCCATACACATTATGCTATGGGATCAGAGTAGGGTGGCTGGATGCTGCTCTTGTGCCAGAGAAATTCTTCCCCAGCCTGTTGCGATTTCTTTAAATCCCTTCTGTGCAGCATATAGGGGGCCAGAACTGGCCCTTGAGCTTATACACTTTCTCATTGTGAAACTGGTAGACATGGCTGATTTCTAACAGGAGTAGGAGTAGGCAGGATATTTTATCTCTGAATTTGGCACTAGTGTGACCACTGCTGGAATACTGTGTCCAGTCCTGGTGTCTACTGTTCGAGGAGGATGTTGATAAATTGGAGAGAGCGTTCAGAGAAGAGCCACAAGAATGATTAAAGGATTAGAAAACATGCCTTATAACGGTAGACCCAAGGACTGTAATTGGAATGATCTTAACAGAGAGAGAGTTAAGGGATGACTTGAATACAGTCTGTAACTACCAATATTTAATAATGGGCTCTTCAGTCCCCCAGAGAAAGGTATAACATGAACCAGTGACTGGAAGTTGAAGCTAGACAAATACTGAGTGAAATAAGGTGTAAAATTTTAACAGTGAGAGTAATTAACCCTTGGAACAACTTACCCAGTGTCAAGGTGGATTTTCCATCACTGACAATTTTTAAATCAAGTTTGAATGTTTTTCAAAAGGATCTGCTCTAGGAATGATTTTGCAGAGGCTTGTGTTCTACAGGAGGTCAGACTAGATGATCAGAGTGCTTCCTTCTGGCCCTAGAATCTATGAATGTAAAGATTTTTAAACACTTAATATTTGAAACTCTTTACTTCAGTTTCAGCTCTGCTCATAGTCTGGAACTGTGATCCTGTATTAATCAGTGCCATAGGATGGTGAATTCTGACTACCAAGTTCTGTAACTGGACGGTGCATTACATCCTTTCCATTCCAGAAATAACAACAAACATACTACAAGGGGAACATTGGAATCTAATAATAATTATAATAATGCCAATACTGCCCTCTCCCACACATGTGATCAGAAGAAAACCCCATCCCCAGGAGCAGTATTTAAAACTTTACTAAGACATATGAGCAGTTCTCCGGTCAGCCCTTATAAATAGCATTTACATATTAAAATAAATATGCCCACATTGCCATAGTAGCAGGAGGTTTTTTCATTATTTAAAAAAAATATGTTACAAAACAATATCATTAATTTTATATTTCTTGCTTATTTTTTTAAAAAATAAGTAATAAAAAAGTCATTTTATAAAATAATAAAAAAGTAAATTGAGTATAAGAGTGTCCGTTCCTAGCACATGTCCTTGGTTTGTACATTATGATACATCATGAGATGTTGACCTCTAGGAAGTCATGTAATCCTTCACTTCTAATTGGACAAAAAAATCCAGTGCTTTTTTCACCATATGTTGTAAGTCTATGATGTGAAACATTCTCAGCAAGGGTAAGAGTCCTTTTAGCTCTTGGGAAGGGTTCTCAAAGCTGGTGTTTATAGCATTGCTGCTCCCTGCTTCAGGCCACCTTGTGTATCACAGAAAGAGATTCTGAACAGCCAAGACTAGGCCCTGAAGTTTAGAGGTAATGAGTTTCAGTCAAATGGTGTAAGCAAGAATCTGTTCTTTTTTTTTTCTTGACACACACTAAGCGTGCTTGTGAGTGTGCATGTGTGTAAGTGTGCCTGCATGAGAATGGAGAAGGTTAAAGAGTTTGGGAGAGAAGCTTAGAGCCTCCCCTTCCTTATCTGATCATTCTGCCCTTTCATAGAGA